TCCTATTATTTGATTTGGTGTTAAGGGATAATTTACCAACATATGTATCAAATACATTGAGATATGGCACAATCTGAGAGACCTTGTTATTAAAACCCTTCATAAACATAATAATCCCAGAAGGGATAGCTCCAAAAACAATAGCATATTCTTTTGCTATTCATATTTTAAAGGAATCCCTTGGTCATTGAATAACTGACTCACCAAAATAATATTATTTTTAGCCCAATTATCAAAATAAATTGATTTATTCTTGTACAGCAGATCTCTGTTGTGCCAAATTATATAACTGTGTGGGGAAAAATTATGCTTGTAAATTAAAGACCACGATAAGAGACATTGTTTGTGAAAGTGAGATAATTTGGAAGGAATTTTGTCAGGATTATAATTACATAAGAGCAAAAAATTTAGACTACCTAATTTAGAAAAAAAATAAAAAATAAAAAAAATAAATGTCCCTGTTGTTTGTGGAAGGAAAGTATTGTATGACGCGTTTCCTGTGACGTAGACCTATACAAAGGAAGTATTGACATTCATATGCGGAAAAAGTTAGAGTGGAGAAAACAATCGGGTGGATCGACGAACTCTAACTTTAAATAAACAAACGACGGCGTGATATTTGGCCTGTTCAGCTACTGGTATCTCTGGTGGACGTTTTCCACACAAAGAAAAGTCAAGGTAAAAATGAGAACGGTATAGGCCTCCGGGTTTTTTTTTTCTTTTCCTGAGCTAATTTTAGCAACTGATATTATTATTATTATTATTATTATTATTTGAGAACGGTCTTGGTCATTTTACAAACGAATAACCATTTAACATGTTATTTTTCAAAGTTTCAGTCTGAATTATCGTCGTCCTTTTGAGTGTTTATTGTGCTAATTGGCCCCAGTTCATTGTCATTGAGAACATATAACACATATATAAGCTCAGTATTGGGGTGTGCTCAATATGAGAAGGAAGAGAACAATATGACGGCTATTAGAGCAGGGGTGATGTCACTTGATTCATAGCGTGTATAATATTTCAATTTGCCAGTAGCTGTAGAAACCACTTGTTCACAGTCCCATATGACATACCTGCAAACAGTGATCATCAAATCGCATGTGGAAAACTGAATTCCTTTAGTCCCATTTGGACTTTTAGCAGATTATGGAAACCCTTCAAACTTCTCACAGTCTGGTCTTTTTTTCTCTTTGTTCATGTCAGATGGAGTTCCTGTTTGGAAAAAGAAAGACTCCGGAGGAGATGCTCAGACAGAATCAGAGAGCGCTAAATAGAGCAATGAGAGATCTAGACAGAGAACGCCAGAGACTGGAACAACAGGAAAAGAAAATAATTGCTGACATTAAGAAAATGGCCAAACAAGGACAGATGGTGAGGAGAGTTTTAATTTGACATTCAGGTCTTTAATGTCACTACCAGGTCTGTGAAGTCTCACTTGAGTGCAAGTAATGTTCTTTGTCCGACAGGATGCTGTGAAGATCATGGCCAAGGACTTGGTGCGCACAAGACGATACGTCAAGAAATTCATCATGATGAGAGCCAATATTCAAGCTGTCAGCCTTAAAATCCAAACCCTCAAATCAAACAACAGCATGGCGCAGGCCATGAAAGGAGTCACCAAAGCTATGGCCACCATGAACAGACAGGTATACGTGCTATAGCATTTTCAATTTCTGTTTCTCTTGCCGACTGGTAGCTTGTTGATATGCATTTGTTGATGTGAATTGCTTTTCCTCTCAATGCAGTTGAAGTTGCCACAGATTCAGAAGATCATGATGGAGTTTGAACGCCAAAGTGAAATCATGGACATGAAGGAGGAGATGATGAATGATGCAATTGATGATGCAATGGGGGATGAAGACGATGAAGAGGAGAGGTGAGGGAAAAAAATATGTGTATTTATTTATCAATTTATTTCCACTTTTATTCAGCAAGAATGCATTGATCAAAAGTGACAGTAAAGACATTTATAATTATAATTTTAGATTTCTGTTTGATTTAAACACCGTTCTTTTGAACTTTCTGTTTATCAAAGAATTCTGGAAAAAAAAGAAATCATGGTTTCCACAGAAATATAAAGCATAACAACTGTTTTCAACATTGATAATAATAATCATTTATATGCTGACATGCACTCTTTTTGCTTTGAATGTAGTGATGCTGTGGTTTCTCAAGTTCTGGATGAGCTGGGTTTGAATCTTTCTGACGAACTTTCAAGTAAGCAAAAAAGACACCACCGTTACCATGCCATAAAATTACACCCTATGCCGTTCTTATATTACCCGTTATTTAATTCAAACAGACCTGCCTTCTACTGGAGGAAATCTCTCGGTTGCGACTGGGAAGAAGGCTGAACCACAGGCTACGCTGGCAGATGCTGATGCTGACTTGGAGGAGAGGCTGAACAACCTCAGGAGAGACTGAGAATGAAAGGACTTCAAGTAAAGGTTTTGATTCGGAACTGTTTGCGCAAAGATTGCTTCACTAAAATGTTGACTGATTCAAAGAAAAGAGGGAGGATGTGAATGCTGTTTTTATTTCCGACATTAGACGCTTTAATGCGTCCTTTTTGTTTTTCTGTCTCCTTTTATGATGTGCTGTAGAAATGTTACCAAACACGTAACCCAAATGAAGATGCAATGCATCAGATCAGACTGATCTCAAGCCTTCTGTTTAGACCAGGGCTGTCCAAACTCTGTCCTGGAGTCCTGCAGAGTTTAGCTCCAACCCTAATCAAACACACCTGAACCAGCTAATCAAGCTCTTACTAGGCATAGAAACTTCCAGTCAGGTGTGTTGAGGCAAGTTGGAGCTAAACTCTGCAGGACACCGGCCCTCCAGGACCAAGTTTGGACAGCCCTGGTTTAGACTAATCCTTTTTAAAGGAGATAAAATCAACTAAAGAATCTGTTACCCCGAGATTCCAACTTGATCTTTTGAGGAAACCTTAACACTAAATATTTCATTACTATAAAAACTGGTTTATCACACATCATCTTTTAATTATAACAAACATAGATTCTGATACTAATCTTTTATACCAGTTTTCAATCTATTCATACAAGGGTACATCAGAGAATTACCTTCAAAATACCTGTGCTATTATACTATCATGATCTTCTAAGAATATATTCATCTTGATCTTTTAGTAGTAAATACCTACATATAACAAATTTGGTGGTTTGTTTTTTTCTCAAAGTGATTGAATCTCTATTTATCCAGGCCTGTTCAGTAAACTATAAACTTTCATAAACTCTAAAGTTTGTGCAAGGCAACATCTCACAATAACTTTGGTGATTTAATTAAAACAAAAAATATTGGAGGCAGTTTTCCAAAGCTCGTTTTGTCAGAAAATAATCTAATGACTTATTGAAATTTAAAAATGAAATATTAGTGTATTTATCTCATGGTGAATCAAGAGGTGGTATATTTTGAAAAATGATTTCTTATTTTTGCTAATTTTTTTTTGTGGTTCAATAAACATTTTTCACACTTTGAAGTGAAAGAGTGTGTTCTGTGATATATGGTGTTACACTTGTTTTACAGTGGCGGTCACATACACTGTTGCACGCATGGGTAATTCTCACAAAGTAGTTTGTGCATTTCACCAAATTAAGAAAAAAAATATTACAATTAATTTACCCCCAAATTGACTTGTATACAAACACAATATTAAACTGTATTATTTATATAATATTTGAAAAACACAAAATAGTTAAATCTTTAGTCTTGGAATAAATGTAAACTGCTTTCACAATCTTGACCAAATCACATCTTTGTAATGCTAAGCTGCCGAATCAAGAAAAAAATAAACACTACAGTAAGAACAAATATGGACCCATAAGACATTAAAAACTGAGTGTCAATTAGGAAATCACGAAGTGCCATAAAATTTGAATCGGTTAAGGGAACTCATTTAACCGCAAGCTGGAACTGATATCTTTATTATTATATATGCATATATTTAAGTAGGTATTAAGTAAGCCGAATATCGATGAATTTTAGTCTCAAGTAAATATCACAATATAACTCATAATTCACGTCATGCGAGGATCATGTGACACTGAACGCTAGAGTAACGGCTGCTGAAAACTCAGCTTTGCCATCACAGAAATTTGGATCATTTGAATTACATTTCAAACTGTTAAAACAGACAACAGTTTATGTTGAGTGTCAATTAGGAAATCACGAAGTGAGTTTTTATTTTTTTGAAAAACAAAAATTATTTTGTAAATAATGCTATCAATATAATATCTATGCTGAACAAACAACACTTTTCTGACATTAAATAAAAAAATAACAGCAATGTTTTCCTTATTTACAGCCAATGTGTCGCAGTAGAGATATTTACAAAGGTCCAGTTGTAGACATTCAGGGGAAAAAATCTAAACCTTGTGTGTAGTGCTCACAAAATTAACACATTTACACACAAAATCAGGTTATCACTTTTAACAAGAACAAGAATATCTTTAGGAAATGCCCAGAAATAAATCCCATGAGACACAGAATTTATGCAAAATGAATAATGACTAGCAACACTTCTGGACATGGATACGGTTTTAAGAAAATGGGAGGTGTAAAATAAATGGATTTTCAATAAGAAGGTTGAGGTACAACAAAAACAACATCAACAGACCTACTAACTGATCCAAAAATAATGTTAAGGGCATTGTCTTTAAACTTGCATGGGATGCTGAACATTTTCAGACACTAGAATGGCCATACACACAATTCATACTTGCTCTTTTACATCGGGGCATTCATCTACACATTTGAGCATCCTTACTCTAATCCTGACAATTTCTTTCCCTCTAAACAACCACACTATGCTTACAAAAATATGTACATTTTTAGGCATAAGATTTAGCAAGACATTCATGCACAATTACATTTGCAAAAACAAAACAAGCTCTTTAAAGTCATTCTCAACACAAATATTGAGGCATTACACACAAATGTGCAGCAGTACTCCATAACCACAGTTTAGTGCACATTAAAACAGTATTTGCAGTAGAGCCTGCAATAATCAATATCACTTAGCCTCAGTAAAAGTACACAGAACAGGAGTACAAGAAAAGGATTTAATCAAGGCCACACACTGACTGTGAGGGAACTAAAATAGCAGTAAGCTGGGCAGTTAGTGCTTTATTATCAGGGCACAATAAAATGAATACACAGCTGCAATGCTGCCATTTCTTTCTCTCCTAAACAGTCTCTGTGCGAGCAGAAGGCAGGTGGACACAAAACTGTTATGATGAGCTAATATTCTGTCACCTGACTGAACAAACCCTGCTTTGCCTCCTTCAACCCCATGTTCTGGCACAGGACATGAAGTAGCATTCCTCTGTGTGGTGCTCAACTCGGACACATAGCAAGAATATGTGCAACTCATTTCCGACAGGTCCTGTGGGGAGTTTGTTTCTTCTGGTTTTCAATGCGACATCGACTTCTTTCGTCAAGCCAGGGCAGCTCAAAGTTTCTGGCAGACAGCAAACGATTGTTATATGACACTTACAGCAGTATTTAAAAGCACTTATCTGTTAATCGGGAGATAGTTCAAAATGAAAAAAAATGCCCTTACTGTTGAGGCAAACTGGGCAAAGGCCGACCAAATGCCACTACTGGCAGAAAGGGTGTTACCATGATGGCCTCCACTGTACAAGAGGAGAGAGAAAGGAGAAATCTGAGAAATTATGGTATATAATATGATAACAGCTTTTTGTTCACAAATACAATATTTCATGAAATGAATCTAGGAGACATACCATTGTCCACATCAGGATAAAACGAGGACAATTCTGGCTCACTCTCCTGAACATTTGTCTTTTTCTTCTCCATGCGCTGCTGCAGTCTGTGAAGCATACGCTGTTCGCGTATTCTCTGAATGTCCCATCTAACAGAAGAAAGCAAGCAAGAAAATTAAAAGCAAGTGTTTCAGGCAGTTAATAAAGTAGTGAAATTTTAATGACAGTTATTCATTTGAAGTATATTACTATATTTGTTGTGGAGAAAACTTGAATCGGTTAAGGGAACTCATTTAACCGCAAGCTGGAACTGATATCTTTATTATTATATATGCATATATTTAAGTAGGTATTAAGTAAGCCGAATATCGATGAATTTTAGTCTCAAGTAAATATCACAATATAACTCATAATTCACGTCATGCGAGGATCATGTGACACTGAACGCTAGAGTAACGGCTGCTGAAAACTCAGCTTTGCCATCACAGAAATTTGGATCATTTGAATTACATTTCAAACTGTTAAAACAGACAACAGTTTATGTTAAATTGTAATAATATTTCACAATATTAATGTTTTTACTGTAGTCTTGGTAAGCACAAGAGATTTCAAAACCTTCAAAAAAACATTTGAATGGTTCTCATGTGCATGAAAAAAACCTAAAACAAAAGGGTTAAAAATGGGTTGATGCCACAAACACAGATCAGGAAAACAATCCTTTAAAAATAAATCTCACCTTTTTCGTCTCTTCTCATCCAGTTCTAACTTTGCGTGCCTCTTCAGAAAAACACTGTCATCAAGACTCTAAAGAAAAAAAAGATGGACAAATGACAATTGGCCTCATAATTAAACGAATAGTTCACCCAAAAATGAACATTTTGTCATCATTTACTCACTCTCAAGTTGTTTATTTTTTCTTTTGAACACAAAATATATTTTGAAGAATGTTGGTAACCAAACAGTTGCTGGTAACCATTGAAAAAAAAATACCATGGACGTCAATAGCTACCATCAATTGTTTGGTTACCAACATTCTTCAAAATATCTCTTTCTGTGTTCAACAGAAAAAAAGAAATGTATACAGGTTTGGAACAACATGAGTGAAGTGAGTAAATGATGACAATTATAATTTTGGATTTATGTATAGTGCATATATGATGCAAATGATGACTCTTACTTCAGGGATGTCAGCAGCATCTTCCTCCTGAAGGGGTTCCATGGTGTTTTCCCTCCATGATGGGACTGAGGAAATAGTTTTGTATTACAATTTGTAAATCAACGTTTACAACTGCCATTTTGCATTTGAGCCAAGCACATACTTGCAACATCCTCTTCCTTCTTTGGAGACTCTTCCCGTAATGGAGAGGCTGGAGGTTGCTGCCAGCAGCATAGGTACATCTCAGTTGTTGTCATGAACGGAAGATCTTCCGTTTCTTTGCCGTCTTCTCCCTCCTGCTGCGGGTCCATTTGCCCAGATGACTTCACAACATTTGTCTTCTCTGGGGTCTCCTTGTTTCGTAGGTCATGCTGACATGGTGATGTCCCTCCTGTCTCTAATTTTTGGGGGATCATTTTTGAGGTCTTACCCCTTGACCTCTGATTCTTTGCATCTAACAAGTTGAACTTCCTAGGCAGAGTATTTACAGGTCACAACAGTCAAGCAGAAGCCACAAGAGGACAGAAGAGGAAAAATAACAGGAAAGAGTGACTAACAGGAGTATTTCCCAGTCTTACCTCTTTTGCACTTTTCCACCTGACTTAGATGCCTGAGTTTGAGGGCTGTCACCCAAATGTGATTCCCAAAAGTCATCTGTTTCAGGAACCCATCTTTCTAGTGGCTGGAAGAGTTTCTTGTCACGTGGTTCCTTACTTAACAACTGCAAACGGCGCTCCATCCGCTCAATACGGGCAAGCAACTGTTTCAAGGCAGGACAAATACATTAGAAAAAATCATAAGTCTTCCGAAGGAGAAAATGGTTGCAACTATAAACCATAAACCAATTTTATGCTGCTAAATCAGGAAAAAAAAACAATGTCAAGAGTCAATATCCCACAAACCATGAACTGTAAACTATCACTCAAAAGTTTGGGGTTGGCAAGATTTTAAAATGTTTTTTAAAATGAAAGAAGGGTCTTATGCTCCCCAAGGCTGCATTTATCAAAAATACAGTAAATAAAAGTAGTTTCTATTTTAACATATTATCAAATGTAATTTATTCTTGTGTTGACAAAGCTGAATTTTCGCCAGTCTTTAGTGTCACATAATCCTTTAGAAATCATTCTAATATGTTGATTTGGTACTCAAGAAACTATTATCAATTTCGAAAACAGTTGTGCTGCTTAATATTTTTTGATGAATGGAAAGTTCAAAAGAACAGCATTTCATGTGTGATCATTTTAATGTATCCATGCTGAATAAAAAAAAAATATTACTGACCCCAATGCTTGCATACATACCGTGTCTCTGTCTGATTTGAGTTCATCTATTTCCTTGTCCTTAGACTGCAGCTGTTGCTGTTGTTGTTCTATCAAGTCCAGCTGAAGCAGAAGCAGTTGTTTCAGGCAAGTGGCTTGTGCGTGAGGATGACTGGTGATTTTCCTCATATTCGTCCTTTTGCCCTCTGAGTGTTCATTAGACACCCCCATAGTCTCTAACCCTTTGGCACTTTTCTCACCCACAGGGTCTCTAGAATTACTATGTGAATTCATGGATACAAACTCTGGCTTGTTATCAATGGTGTTGGTCTGTCCAAGAGGAGTTTTACTTTTTACAGGGGTGCCTTCACCCCCCATTTGTTTAGCTTGAGATGACAGTGTTTCTGTGCCCACAGAGCCAGCCTCTGAAGCGACAGCCAACACTCTGCCAAGCTTTAAAGGCAATGAAGTCCGTTCAGCTTTCCCACCCAGTCTTGTCCAAGATCGGATGTTGTCTGGTCCTGTCAGGAGAGTCACCAAAAGGATCTCCAATCTCTCTTCGGACACTAACTGGGTGTCTTGTTTGAGATGGGCTTAAGTCACAGTTGTTTGAGTACAATCCCACTTTAGAAAAGCATTCGGGTCGCATATTCATGGCGAACAAAAGCCTCTACCCTATGAACCATGGCTCCTATAGAGTTGATATCAACAATGGTGTGTCTGCAGACATGCAGAAGAAAAAAAAATCAATTAGAATCAATATAGTAACAAAGGGACGGATATGTAAATTCCAAATCATTGTTTTGAGGATCTCCTTGAATTCTGGAAAAATTTGTAGACTAAGTATATCCTTCCTGTCTATATATGCAACCTAACCTTCTGTATAAAGTTGAAATAAATCTACTGGGTAAACATAGACTAAATAAAACACCAAAACCATTCACATAATATCTTTTACGATATTAAGTTGTCTACAGGCTAGAAATCAGATGTTTGGTCATAAACAACAGATCACTGCCGGCTGGACTTGGGTCACGGCATGCACACATCTATTACAATAATACTAAAGCCACATGTGAATCTGCTTATTAAACGCTATGATGCATATCGTTGAAGAAGTATGAACCATTTTAACTTGAGCTAATAATAAATAGCCCGCCTCCATTTTGATCCTCATTGCTAGCTAGCCGCTGTTAGCAAAGAGGTAATAAACTATTAAGTCGTTTTCGCTGCACTACGAGTTTGAATCCATGCCGCATTTCTTACATAGTTGCTGGTTCGCCCACGGTAAAATCCTAATGATCCGAAGAAACGCGTGTTAAATAAGCCTTCTACTTTACTTTTATTGCTGTTTGCATTTTCAGGCTTGAATCTGCACAATGTCCCAACATAGGAGTGCGTTTGACGCAGTGCGCATGTGCCATGTCAGGACGTGTTTACATTCAGAATGATCTTCTTCTTCTTCTTCTTCTTTGAGGTTTAACGGCGGCTTGCATCCAAGAGCGTTGCATTACCGCCACCTTCTGGATTATTCTCCTGCAATGTTATTCCATTTTATTGCCTCCAGCTTGTGTTCCACAATCATATTTTCCTTATCAAACCCGTTCTACTTAAGAAATTACAAATATTTTTCCTGCTTTGTCTAATCACCCCGCTTTGCAGTATATATTTAATACCTGTCCCTACCAACACATCTCTTCTTAATTCTTCCATCATATTTCATTCAGAATGATGGGTCTTTCCAGCGATATTAAAAGGCAGTGTGCGTATTCAATTTTCTATGCACTAAAACGGAGTACAGTTACCTTAACATAGGTAAACTGGTCAGGATAGTCTGGTATGGGGACGCTAGTTGTGCGTCTGAGAAACAAATATGGGCATCATGATCATGCTGTGCACACTTGAGGAAAGGACCTTCCCTGCGTCATTTCCTCTGAAGTTTTGCACTCCTTTCAGTTTATTATTATTATTATTATTATGTATTATTATTATTATCACCCGGATCCATAATTTTAAAGAAATTATTTAATGACACTGTATGATTCTTATTTTACTAAAACAATGCTTGCTCTTTACAAATTTTATATCCACAAATGTAAGTTCACTAATAACAATTAACTGATTGTTTCCCGATCTTTTTGAAAGAATTTAAAACGTAGCTCGAATCTCAACATCATTTCATCTTCAGTTAAATAAAAAAGCAAGCAGAACGACGTCCATTTGCAATGACTTTTAATTTGTATACTCTAATTGATGTATGTTTTTTCTGTCTTATACTTTTTAAAATATATATTTTTCAGTCTTTAGCAAATTATTGAAAACTCTTTTTGTCTGCATTCTGCTGACAATATTTCACCCAATTGCCCCCTTTGTCATCACTTTGAAGAAACAATTACCCACTTATTTTGAAATGGTGTTTATTGCAAAAACAAATTGGGGTCCTATTATGCTTTTTCACTTTTTTAATTTTAGTCAGTGTGTAGTGTGTATGTTTGGGCATAAAAAAGATCTAGAAAGTTATAAATCTCAAAGTCCACTCCAAAGGGAGATATTTCGTTTAAAAAAAAAAAATTTTTCAAGAACTACAGCAAACGGCTCGTTTGGACTACAGCGTTTGGTTTCCGGGCTTTGTGATATCGCAAAGCGGCTCATTAGAATTTCATTACAAAGAATTCCCGCCTACAGAATTTCGGTGGGGGTGGGGCGAGGTTGGTTGAGTGAGTGCATGAGACGAGACGACGACGAAGAAGTGCTGCTGCAGAGTTAGTGCATCAGAGAAAACCAAGAAGAAGAGGTGCTGTGCTGTAGCCTCAAATTTCTGGCATGTCTAGAACAGCGGTTCTCAATTCCAGTCCTCG